TTGGTTCTATATCTTTTCTCCCTGTCTGAGAATAATAATGATTTCCTTCCCAGTTTTCTTTGTTCCATCCTCCTCCAACTCCGTTTCCACAGAGCGTCTCCCTACCCCACCCCGCCCCCCCACCCCCCACCCCCCCAGTGTGGACCCTCTTCCTGGTCATGGCTGTGGAAGCAGAGCAGGGTTCTTGACCTCTGTTGAACAGTGAGTCCTTGGGCAGACTGCAGTCCATGGAACTCTGCCTTTTTCAAATCAAAGGAAATAAGTTTTATTAGAATATAGAGAGGGCGTGTGTGTATGTGAGAGAGAGAGCACGTGCGCTCTCCCTAGTGGCAAAGTGGTCACATGTTAGGCTGCTAATTGCAAGGTTGGCAGTTCAAAACCACTAGCTGCTCCATGAGGGAAAGGTGAGGCATTTTACTCCCATAAGGAGTTAAAGTCTTGGAAAATCACCTGTCTACATTCTATCCGGTCTGCATTGACTTGATAGCATTGAGTTTCGATTTTATATATATATACCAAACTCATTGCTGTTGAGTCTATGCTGTCTCATAGCAACCCTAAGGACAGAGTAGATCTGTCCCTGTGGGTTTCTGGTACTGTAACTCTTTACCGGAGTGAAAAGACTCATCTTTCTCTCTTGGAGTGGCTAGTGGTTTCAAACTGCCAACCTTGCAGTTAGCAGTCCAAGGTATAAGCACTACACCACCAGAATACCATTGATTTTTTTAAATGATATATATACACACATATACATACATGTTTTAAAACATATGATAAAGGACTATACGTGCTTTTCCACATAAAGTTAGATCTAGAGGTGAATCTGATAACTACCATAATTTCCAAACAGTGATGAGTGTAAATGCTATTATGAAATATTTGTACCTGCTCACCTTTCCGACGCGATTGATGAAGACAAAATGGGTGTATAAGCAAATGTGATGAAGAAAGCTGATGGTGCCCAGCTGTCAAAAGATAAGAGCATCTGGGGTCTTAAAGGCTTGAAGATAAACAAGCAGCCATCTAGCTGAGAAGCAACAAAGTCCACATGGAAGA